AGAATGAAATGTTGCCATGTTTTTATTGAACACACCATGTAAACATTCACAGTGCAGGTGGAAAAAGTATGTGAACCCCTAGACTAATGACATCTCCAAGAGCTAATTGGAGTGAGATGTCAGCCAACTGGAGTCCAATCAATGAGATGAGATTGGAGGTGTTGGTTACAGCTGCCCTGCCCTATAAAAAAACACACACCAGTTCTGGGTTTGCTTTTCACAAGAAGCATTGCCTGATGTGAATGATGCCTCGCACAAAAGAGCTCTCAGAAGACCTACGATTAAGAATTGTTGACTTGCATAAAGCTGGAAAGGGTTATAAAAGTATCTCCAAAAGCCTTGCTGTTCATCAGTCCACGGTAAGACAAATTGTCTATAAATGGAGAAAGTTCAGCACTGCTGCGACTCTCCCTAGGAGTGGCCATCCTGTAAAGATGACTGCAAGAGCACAGCGCAGCCTGCTCAATGAAGTGAAGAAGAATCCTAGAGTGTCAGCTAAAGACTTACAAAAGTCACTGGCAAATGCTAACATCCCTGTTAGCGAATTACCAGATTTTACTAATTTCATGACGTAAAGTCATGATTTTATAAAGGACACGGAGGCGAATATTATGCTTATCTCTTTCTTTAATATACCTCAGCAGCAAAGAAAAAGGTATAAGACATTAAAAGAACAAACTAGAATAAATACTCCAAGGGTTAACATAGTATGCTATCCTTAACCAATAGGAACAGTCCATGCATCCATAACCACCCATGTGACCTCTCTACTTGCGTAGACACTGGAACCATAACAGGTACGTCGACTTCGTTTTCATAACCAAACAATGTACTTTAACCAATTGAACTTAGATGATAACCAATCATCCATTGCATCTACTGTAATTCATTAAGCTAAAATGAGAGAGAAAAGAAATGGTAATGTGTGGTCCAGAGACTGTGTGTCACATACATGATGGTTAATTCTTATTATACATGAAAACCTCTACAGACCATCTGACCTGCTGTAGGAGTTACTGTCTTATGTCTCTATCATACTCATTCACTAAACTCTATACCAAACCCACAATATTTACCCTACCAATACAACTTATTGGGTGGGAATTCAAATCTTTTCCCGTTATTCTGGTAACAACGTCGCGATACTTACCATGTCAACTTCGCGATACTTACCGGGTGGGCTAATATTCGCCTCCGTGTCCTTTATAAAATCATGACTTTACATCATGAAATTAGTAAAATCTGGTAATTTTATTAAAGGACACGGAGGCTCATATTATGCTAGTTCAAAGCTGAGCAATGACTGACGATGTTATGTGTTCTGTAGGGCAAAAATAGTATTCTTTAAACGTGGACTCCCGTGACCAGTCCGCTGTTCGCAATAGGTCTTCCAATCTGCATCCCAAATTAAATGCATTAGTCGCCATAGCTCCTCTAGTGGAGTGTGCTCCAAACATGGATGTATCAATATTTGCGGAGGTCATCACCCATTTCACCCATCGGGCTATAGTAATCGACGATACTGGTTGATGTGGTGTGTTGATGGCCAGGAAGAGTTCATGCTGACTAGGGTCCCGAAATGCCTGCGTCCGTTTCTCATACTCTTTGAGACAAGCTATTGGACATAGGTTTGTATTGTGAGGAAAAGCTGGGTAAGATACTGTAGAAATTGTGTTTTTTGTCTGTCTGGTAATGTTAAAAGTCACTCCCGATGGAGTGAACGAGCGTGCATCCACATCCAATGCCCTCACATCGGATACTCTTTTGCATGATATCAAGCAGAAGAGCATGGCTAGTTTTGCTGATAGCTGTTTAAGTGTAAGGTCATTGTTCTGTGGCCATTGTTCCAATAAATTTAAGACTAAATTTACGTCCCACATTGATGCATATCTGGGTTGTGGGGGTCTTGCAAACCTCACCCCACGTAATAGTCTGCACACCAATAAGTGCTTCCCTATTGGTGCCCCTTCCAAGCCATTATGTCCGGCCGATATCGCTGACCTATAGACATTAATAGTCTGGTATGCTAAACCTTGATCGTATAAGTGCGTCAGGAAACATAGCAAGTAGTTCACAGGAGCACATACGGGATCCACTTGTTGTTCCATGCACGAACCACTCCAGGAGTTCCATGCCCGACTGTAAGATCTCCTGGTTCCTGGGGCCCAGGCTCCCGCCAGTAATTCCAGCATTGTCTGTGGAACCTCCGGTACGACCCAGGGTCCCCCGCAAGGAGCCACGCTAACAGCCTGAGTTGTCCCTGCATCATCAGTGGGTGTGAGTTCCCTTCGGGATCCGACAAAAGGTGTGGGTCTTCGGGGAGTAGTCTGGGAAGGTCTATAGACATCTCCATGAGGGAAGGGAACCATGGCTGCGTTGTCCAAAATGGTGTTATCAGGACCAGTGTTGTCCGAGAGCGGTCGAGATGTACTAACGTTCGTGCCAGCAGAGCGAAGGGAGGGAACGCATATAGTCTTCTGTTCGGCCATGTCTGGAGGAACGCATCCGTAGCTATTGCTTCCGGATCTGGTCTCCAGCTGAAGAATTCCGGCAGGTGCGTATTCAAACGAGACGCAAACAGATCCATGTGCAGCGGGCCCCACAGTTCCTGCAATCGCAGGAATACTTCGCGATTCAGGCGCCAATCGCTGGCGTCCCGCAGATATCTGGAATTCCAATCTGCTACAAAATTTGCGAGACCCGGGATGTATTCGGCTCGTACTGATATGTTGCGGTCCAGGCAAAATTGACAGAATTCCGTGGCTAAATCTGCTAAAACTTTGGACCTGGTGCCGCCGAGGCGGTTGATGTATTGCACTGCTGATATGTTGCCCATCCTTCATATAATGGAGCAATGTGTCTTGGCACCTAAAAGGCTTTTCAGTGCGAATGCTCCCGCCATAAGTTCCAGGCTGTTGATATGCAGCGCCCTTTCCGATTGGGACCATCTTCCGCCTGTGGAAATACGACCACAACGCGCTCCCCAGCCCTGTGTGCTGGCATCGGATTCTATTATGCAATCTGGAGCGGTGCCAAAGATCGCTCTGCCATTCCACGCTTCCATGTATTGCAGCCACCACTTGAGTTCCTCTTTGGCTGTGTGATCGAGTTGTACAGAGTCTGAATAAGATCGACCTGATTGCAGTTGAACGGCGTTCAATCTCTGTAGGGCCCTGTAATGCAGAGGTCCCGGGAATATCGCCTGAATGGACGCTGAAAGGAGTCCAATTATTCTGGCCAATTGTCTCACCGTGAGCGTTGGGAGAGTTAACGTTCTGCGGATCTCTTTTTTGATGGTTTTGATCTTCGCCTGCGGTAATTTCAGGGTTCCCTGGACCGCTTCTATAGTGAATCCTAGGAATTCTATGGACTGCGAGGGGGTCAGCACCGACTTCTCCCAGTTGATTAGAAATCCTAAGTTGCGTAAAAGTGTTATTGCCCAAGATAGGTGTTGTTGAAGTAGGCGTGCATCTTGTGCCATGATCAATATATCGTCCAAATATACGATCATGCGTACTCCTCTGCTGCGTAGCAGCGCCACCACCGGTTTCAACAGTTTCGTAAAACACCATGGAGCCGATGACAGGCCGAAAGGGAGGCACCGAAACCTCCACATCTGTGCCTTCCATTGGAACTGCAGGAGGTGGTGACATTCTTCCGCGATGGGGATGGCGAGATAGGCATCCTGCAGGTCTAGTTTGACCATCCAGCCCCCTAACCTGAGGAGGTCTTGCAGGCAATGAATCCCTTCCATTTTGAAGTGGCGATACTGAACATATGCATTGAGTGGGCGTAGGTTTATCACTGGTCTCACTCCCCCGCCCTTCTTGGGGATCAGAAACAGGTTGCTCAAGAAACCTGGAGAGTGAGGTGCGACTTGATAAATCGCGCCTTTCTCCCTTAATGCTCTGATTTCCTTTGACACGAGTTCCCTGTCCTGTGGGGTAAACACCATTGGCCGTGGGACTGAGGTTTGGACTGGGGTTTGGACAAATTCTATGTGGTACCCTTCCACTATGTTGAGAATCCAGGCATCGGACGTGAGCCTGTTCCATGCCCCGATAAAATGGGATAGTCTGCCCCCACATATGGTATACAAGAATGGGAAGCAGGAAAGGTACTCACCATAAGGCCGTCGACCGTAAGTGGCGCCCCTGCGTCCTCTGGGTTGCCATGCCCTGCCCTTGACTGGGAAGAAGGGTGAGGGGTTCCTGGTCTCCACCTGTGGGAATCTGGATGTAGAGGAGCCTCGATAGCCCCGGTAGGAGCCTCTTGATGAACGGCTGGACAGACGGCCCCGTTGTCTGCCGGCCCCCCCAAAAACCTTTGGGCGAACACACGCTCCAAGTTTGTTTGCGCCTTGTCCAGGGCTGAAAATGTATTCACATAATTGCCTAACTCCTTTACAAAATTGTCTCCAAAAAGGAGGCCTTTTGCCTGCGGTCCAGGCTCAGACATGGCCATGTTGACCAGCTTCGGGTCAATTTTCATGAGAACTGCCTTGCGCCTTTCTGTACAAAGCGCAGCATTGGAATTGCCAATAAGGCAAATAGAGCGCTGTGCCCACTCTCGGATAGCCAAGAGGTCCACTGGCGTGCCACCTGAAAGTGCAGCTTTGACCATGTCAAATATTTTTGTGCTGGGGCCTAAAGAATCAAGCACCTTATCCTGGCAGTGGCGCAGGGAATAATCCAGCCCTTTCTTGGCCTTCCAGCCCGATTTTCCTAGAAATTGGGCAATTTTTGGGTCCAGTTCCGGTGTGGCACAAGCCATATCCGGGACTGCCGGGCGTGGGCATTCTGCCCTCAACTTATTCCTGGTGGCTTTGTCCAGGGGTTTCCTAATTCTGGCCGCTATATATTGGGCCACGTGGTCAGCAGGAAACCATTCTGTCGACCTCGGGTGTTGAAGGTCATCAGGATTAAACAGGGGCTCCCCTTGCGGATCTAGAATAACCGAATAATCCGCGTTCTCTTGGCCCTTGTTGGCTGGTTTGCCCGTTAAACTGCGCTCCGGAGAAGAGTTCTCTGATTCCAACGAGCCCATCTCTTCTGGCTCGCTCAACACCTCCTCTTGGTCCGAATCAGAGTCGGATATTTCTGTCTGGGCTTTAGCCCGTTTCCATGCCCTCACCATTTTTGCCCGGCGGGAGGCTCGCTTACATGGGGGCCCCACGTCCTCAACAGTGACAGGACGCAACCTGTCCGTAAAAATTGTTTTGGAGGTTTGCTTGCCCATATGATGGGTCTTTTCAGTAGCCTTGCGACCGCTGAGGGTGGCAGGCTTGTCGTCTTGGGCCTTGGAGCGGAGGCCTATGGGGTTGTGGCCAGACGCCATGATGGCGTTGCTGATGGATTGGGTCAGGTTATCTGACATCGCCCCCATTGTTGTGTAGATGGCCTGAGTGACTGATTTGGTCATGGTCGCGTCTAGGAGGGAATGGAACTCCTCCGAGTTCAGTTGCTCCACAGACGCCACCTCTTCCCCTTGAGGGGAGACTGGGTGTGGGGCTTGAGACCCACGGTGTGTGGTATCCTTATTGCCCGCAGCCAACTTGGCAAGCTCCTGTTCCTTGGGGTGCTGCATTTAATATATATATAGACTCTGCTCCAATATGTGGCACTAACTAAGTGGCACTATAATATTGCCCCCCCCACAAGGAACAATCTAAGTATATCTGCTGTGTTTGAAGCACACAATACTGGCTCTTTAATTATAAGGGAGACTGTCCAAGTAATCTACCCTTGAAGGCAGCTTAGACTGCTGTAAATTGAGGTGATTGGGCAAGGCACAAACAAGCTGTCAGCTTACCTAGTGTTCCCTCCGGAATGGCTGCAAAGGGACACTGGCAGGCTGACAGCTATAGCCACTACCCAATCCGCACGCTCCCGCCCCTTAGTGCGCTGGGGGCGCCGGGCAAAAGCGCGACAAAATTTCTGAGGTGCCGCAATGAAAAGGGCCGCCGCGCTATGCGGCCGCAAATGCGCATGCACGTGCGGCCACCATCTAGCAAAATGTCCGCGTCGGCAACGACCGCCGCGGATAACAGCTGGGGAAACACCGAAGCCTTGCGGTGTGCGGGTAATAAACTACCCGGCGGGATAGGGGAGGGAGGGAGTGTGTCTCCCGGACAGGAGGTAATAAGCAGGTCAACCAATATGACGCTAGGGGCACAAGCCCCAAGTAAATACCAAGGCTGCCACTCCTATACCTATATAGAGAGCCCTATATAGGGTAAACTTTCACACTCTTTCTATCTCCCTAAAGTCTACATACACTAACTCTATACAGCAATATACATATAATGCCAATATGCAATGACACATACATAAAGCAATATCCCCAAATCTAAATATTCCAACAGAATCAACACAATTAAACTCAATTAAAAGAGAGCTAAAAATTAGGTGATACTTAGCTGAGGCAGCAGCAAAGAAAGAGGAAGAAGAGAGGTCACATGGGTGGTTATGGATGCATGCACTGTTCCTATTGGGTAAGGATAGCATACTATGTTAACCCTTGGAGTACCTATTCTAGTTTGTTCTTTTAATGTCTTATACCTTTTTCTTTGCTGCTGAGGTATATTAAAGAAAGAGATAAGCATAATATGAGCCTCTGTGTCCTTTAATAAAATCTACAATACGTAAAACACTAAACAAGAATGGATTTCATGGGAGGATACTACAGAGGAAGCCACTGTTGTCCAAACAAAACATTGCTGCATGTTTACAGTTTGCACAAGAGCACCTGGATGTTCCACAGCAGTACTGGCAAAATATTCTGTGGACAGATGAAACCAAAGTTGAGTTGTTTGGAAGAAACACACAACACAATGTAAGGCGAAAAAAAGGCACAGCACACCAACATCAAAACCTCATCCCAGCTGTGAAGTATGGTGGTGGGGGCATCATGGTTTGAGGCTGCTTTGCTGCGTCAGGGCCTGGACGGATTGCTATCATCGAAGGAAAAATGAATTCCCAAGTTTATCAAGACATTTTGCAGGAGCTTAAGGCCATCTATTTACCAGCTGAAGCTCAACAGAAGATGGGTGTTGCAACAGGACAATGACCCAAAGCATAGACGTAAATCAACAAAACAATGGCTTAAACAGAAGCAAATACGCCTTCTGAAGTGGCCCAGTCAGAGTCCTGACCTCAACCCGATTGAAATGCTGTGGCATGACCTCAAGAAAGCGATTCACACCAGACATCCCAAGAATTTTGCTGAACTGAAACAGTTCTGTAAAGAGGAATGGTCAAGAATTACTCCTGACCGTTGTGCACCTCTGATCTGCAACTACAGGAAATGTTTGGTTGAATTTGCTGCCAAAGGAGGTTCAACCAGTTATTAAATCCAAGGGTTCACATACTTTTTCCACCTGCACTGTGAATGTTTACATGGTGTGTTCAATAAAAACATGGCAACATTTCATTCTTTGTGTGTCATTAGTTTAAGCAGACTGTGATTGTCTATTGTTGTGACTTAGATGATGATCAGATCACATTTTATGACCAATTTGTGCAGGAATCCATATCATTCCAAAGGGTTCACATACCTTTTCTTGCAACTGTATTAAATAACAGACTTAAAACCGGGATTGGCCAGGTAAAAATATACACATAACAAGGGTCAGAGCTGACGTAGGATGAAAACCAGCCTTGGAGAACATTAAATACCAGCCATTTTCCCAGACCTTGTGGAGTGGGCCAGGAGTGGTCATTTGTTAGCACGTGGCCTACAAGATGTTACACTATAAATAATTACAGGGAGTGCAGAATTATTAGGCAAATTAGTATTTTGACCACATCATCCTCTTTATACATGTTGTCTTACTCCAAGCTGTATAGGCTCGAAACCCTACTACCAATTAAGCATATTAGGTGATGTGCATCTCTGTAATGAGAAGGGGTGTGGTCTAATGACATCAACACCCTATATCAGGTGTGCATAATTATTAGGCAACTTCCTTTCCTTTGGCAAAATGGGTCAAAAGAAGGACTTGACAGGCTCAGAAAAGTCAAAAATAGTGAGATATCTTGCAGAGGGATGCAGCACTCTTAAAATTGCAAAGCTTCTGAAGCGTGATCATCGAACAATCAAGCGTTTCATTCAAAATAGTCAACAGGGTCGCAAGAAGCGTGTGGAAAAACCAAGGCGCAAAATAACTGCCCATTGTCAGGATCGTGACAGGGATCCAACACGCAGAATACAAACAGGGGATAGGTACGTATACCGGACCTTAGAGTGGCCGGACTAACGTAAGGAGAAAGCAAAAGAATAGTCAGAGACAAGCCGAGGTCGAGGGAACGAGAGATCAGGTAAGCGAGAGACAAGCCGAGTCAAAAGGACAAGAGAGGAAAGCAGGGTCAAAATACAAGCCGAGTCAGGAACCAAAAGACAATAGAGGTAATTGCACTGAGTGACCAGACTAGCTAGAACCACGACAGGGCAATGAATCATTCCACAGAACCCTTTTTTATACCTTGGCTCTTTAACTGTTGGCTCCGCCCCCAACGGGTCCTGATTGGTTGTTCGGCACTTGGTTGCCGTGATTGACGGGTCGGAACGTGATTGCCGTCATGACGTCGGCTACTGAGCGCCGCGTCATAAAAGGAGGCGGAGCTATCGCGGCCGGCGTGTAAACGACCGGGAGGAGTGCAAGGATCGGGTGAGTCAGCCCCCCTGGGAGGATGGACGTCTAGGTGTCTAACCTCCTCCGAGGTAGACACCAAAGGTACCCTGACAGTACCCCCCCTCTCAGAAACGCCCACCGGGCGGAAGGAACCGGGGCGGGACGGAAAACGAGCATGAAATGCCCGGAGGAGACGAGGGGCATGCACATTTTCATGGACCACCCAAGACCTTTCTTCAGGCCCATACCCCTTCCAGTCAACAAGATATTGCAACTTCCCCCGAGAAATACGAGAATCGAGAATGGATTTGATTTCATATTCCTCCTGACCCTCAACCTGGACAGCGAGAGGGGAGGACTCAGGGGAGGAAAATCTGTTGCAAACCAAAGGCTTCAATAAAGAAACATGAAAAGAGTTAGGGATGCGCAGGGCAGGCGGAAGGGCAAGACGATATGCAACCGGGTTAATCCGACACAGAACCTTGTAAGGGCCTATGTAACGAGGGGCAAATTTCATGGAAGGAACCTTCAAGCGGATGTTTCTGGTACTCAACCACACCCTATCACCCGGGGCAAAAACCGGAGCCACCCGTCTCCGTTTGTCAGCGTGTCGTTTGAACACCATGGAATTCTGAAGAAGAATTCGTCGAGTCTGATCCCACAACTTTCTCAGATTGGCGACATGAACATCAACCGACGGAACCCCTTGGGAAGGGGAAACCGACGGAAGAATGGAAGGATGAAAGCCATAATTCAAGAAAAAGGGGCTAGAACGAGTAGAATCACAAACGAGATTGTTGTGTGCAAACTCTGCCCAAGGAATCAGACCAACCCAATCGTCCTGGTGTTCAGAAACAAAACAACGCAAATATTGTTCAATCTTTTGGTTGGTGCGTTCGGCAGCTCCGTTGGACTGGGGATGATAGGCAGAGGAGAAGTTCAACTTGATGCCTAAGTGAGAACAGAAAGACTTCCAAAAGCGGGAAACAAATTGGGAACCTCTATCAGAAACAATTTCAGAGGGAATACCATGTAGACGAAAAATCTCCCTCGCGAATATCTCAGCTAATTCGGGAGACGAGGGCAGTTTAGGCAAGGGCACGAAATGAGCCATTTTAGTAAACCTGTCAATCACCGTGAGAATAACAGTATGTTTTTTAGAAACAGGCAAATCGACAATGAAATCCATAGCCAAACACGACCATGGTCTCTCGGGAATTTCTAAGGGATGCAAAAGTCCACAAGGGAGCGCGTGAGGTTGCTTAGTCTTCATACAGACAGCACATGCCCTGACGAAATCCCTTATATCCTTACGAAGGGAAGGCCACCAGAAATCTTTAGAAATCAGGGAACACGTTTTGCGTGTGCCGGGGTGCCCAGCAATTTTACTGTCATGAAAGCAATGCAGCAGTTCCACTTGGAGCTCAGGAGGAACGAAGTATCGATCCCCAGGAACAGGTTTGGGAGCTAGATGTTGTACTTTCTTGATCTCAGCAAGCAACGGCGAGTGTATCCTGACACAAGTGTTGGCAATAATATTACACTTAGGAACGATAGAAGACAAAGCTGCCTCAGACACCGTAGAGGGTTCATGTTGACGGGACAATGCATCTGCCTTAGAGTTCTTAGAACCAGGTCTATAAGTGAGCACGTAATTGAAATGTGTCAGAAACAAGGACCAACGAGCTTGCCTGGCGGACAAGCGCTTGGCCTCCCCTATGTAGGACAAATTCTTGTGATCAGTCAAAATAGTAACCGGGTATAATGTCCCCTCCAACAAATGTCTCCATTCCTTTAAAGCCATAATGACCGCTAACAGTTCCCTATCACCAATGTCATATCTACTTTCAGGCCCAGATAATTTCTTGGAAAAAAAACCACAAGGATGTAACGGTTTATCCAAACCTAGCCTTTGGGACAAGATAGCGCCTATACCTGTCTCCGAGGCGTCAAC